CCATCAGCTCTGCGATATACAATCAAAAGATTATTAGTTCAATTCCACGAGAAATTTAACTGAAGCGGAGTTGCAGTCGAAGTGAGGAATTACCAGCAGCGGACACGGAGCGATGCACGGCGAGGACTCTGGTGAGGCCGCCGACGTAGCGGAGCTTGCCGTCGCCGTAACGAGGAGCTATCTTCCCGCCGTAGCTACAGAGGAACTTGACAGTCTCCGCCGCCGCGCCATTCTTCCTCGACTCACTCACCACCATGGCTTTTTGAGGTAAGGAGGCTTCTAGAGACAGGGGAAGGAAGGAAGAAAGTGGAGAGAGAGAGAGAAAGAGAGAGGAGAGGAGAGGAGGAAAGGGAAGGATTTGTTTTGGAGCGTTGTTTGAGTTTCAAACGGCAAAGCGAAGTGAATTGGAGGGCAATTTATAGATTGGAGATCAGGAGGGCCGGAAGAGGGTTTTCGGGGGGTGACGTGAGGAGTTGGGCCGGGGGCCCACGCGGAATTGGGGAGGGGTCGTTAAAAGAGGAATAAAGGGAGGGAGGGAGTGGAAACAGGGAAGGAAGCGGCTTTTCAAACAAAAACAAAAGAGAAAGGAAGCGGGCGTAGGAAAGAACCGGAAAAAGGCAAATATCCGGATATTCGATTCCTCGAGAAAAGGAACCGGGTAGGAAAAGATTAGTGGGGCGGGTGGGCCAGACAGTCGGGTATAGTTCGTGGGCCCGATTTGTTGGGAGAGAGTAGCAAACTAGTAATCATGTCAGTATGGACTATGATGGTGTAGTGGTGTACACACCACGAATTCCTTTCTTATGCATCCAGTATTCCACTTAGAGGTTTTGAGTTTTTCCGAAGTTAAAAGCCAAAATTAGGATTTTTCACTAGAGGAGAAATAGAGATGGCAAAAATATCCGTAACTGTGGATAACCATCCAAATCTGATATTGTCGGGTAGGGTAAAACCCGAACCCGAAGAAATTTTAGCAGGTATGGGTAAAACCCGAACATGAATATTACGGGTAATGGGTGGACATGGTTTTCTCACTATCCAACCCGAACCCACCCGATATACACATGCATATATATTTTGTCTAGAAATAATAATTATTTTTCTCTAACATATTTTATATTTAGCATATAAATATAACATTTTCAAGAAATTGTGTTGTTTTAATGAATTTTTCTTCATTGTAGTGCATTATTGTCATACTTTTCATCTTACGTAATGTGAGAATACATGTGAATATTAACATATTGGTTTGTGATATAAAGAGAAACTATTACCCATGGATACCCGAAACCCGAACGGATATGGGCATGGTTTTGTTTTTCTACCCGTTTCTTATGTGGGTATGGGTATGGGTAAAATCAAACTAGTTTGGGTAGGGTAACGGATATGCACTATCCGTCAGCGACCCATTGCCATCCCTAACCGGAAACAAGTAAATAAATAAAAAAACTCAAAATATTACACTACTATTCTTTTTTTGTCCGCATAAATTTGGATAAAATTATGCGAAAGAAGCTATTCAGAGTCATTATTGATGGAAAAGACAATTGTTATCATGATCCCACAGCGATTAATCGAAATCGAAGTTATGAATCGCGATTTAAATTAAATGCTAGTGTGAGATGCGATAAAGTAAAGTGTTGCAACTCTCCACGATTTCTCTAATGTTGCTTTCTACCCCCAAATGGCATGATAGATAAGGGTGGATCGATGGATTCCCTATCATAAATCGTTTTTGAGGGTTTAAAGAAAATTTTGTTGGACCATCCAACCATTTATGTGCTCAGATTTGCCAGAAGCAATTATTCTCCAACTCACCCCAGCTGCCTTCCTTTTCACTTCTTTTCTTTCTCCTACCCAGAAAAAAAAACTGGCAACAACATCCTCCTTTCTCTCTTCCTTTCCGACTAGGATTTTGAATTTAGGTTGTCGGTTTGATAAAAGTTTGGAATTTAGGTTATATAAGGGCTCGGATTTAGATTGTGTGGTTTTTTGGTTCTTTATATGATCACATTAGTTAATCTAAATTGATAATATCATAGGGAAGTTCAAGCTAAGTATTCAATCAAATGGTGGAATGACGAAATTTCACTCTAGGATTGATTTATGAGGATGGGTGAATCCACTGATGTGAGGACGGACATCAAATTCACTTGGTATGTGAACTCTCTAAAATTTGCGAGGAACAAACTTCTATAAATGTTTTTCAGAGAGTTCGTAAAATTACCTATCGAATGCCAATGATGAACAACAGAGTATGGTAGACAAAGAACTATCCTCTCCGACAACGGAAGCATAGATTCGATGGATAGTTTATGGTTGAAAACAAAATATGGTATGCCAAGGTTCATTTTGAGACCAAGGAGGTAAGTGGCAGGGAGAGAATTATAAGTATCGTGATGGTGGGATTTGCACATATCGAGCATGGACACCAAGGAGCATCGTGCACAAGTCAAACTCATAGCTGCTAATAGAACTAGATTATATAATTTTTGTTTCCTGGTCACACGAGACCATATCCTTACTTTTCTATCAATATTTAATTATACCCCCGACCAATATGACATGATCATATCGCGGTATAAACAAAAATTCTATCACGGTCCAATTTGACATATAATAGTGTCATAATTTAGGAATTTGTATACCCTCATTTTTGTGTGTTATTATTATGTTCATATTGACATGATTGTGTTCAATACCATGACATGTTAGTGTAGGACGTTACCATAGCGATATTTTCATGCTATGACCAAGAATGTGAGGTTTTCGGCACAACTAAAGCCAAAGGGTGCAAGTGTAGAGGTGACAAAAGGAAGTATGCCGAAGATCACGACAATAGCAACAATACCACGGCTGTGATCTCCCATTCATGATCCATTTTTGGAGATCATGGGCGGAAAAGAAAGACCACAACCGTGTTCAACCACTTGATGCCCTTCAACGGTAGCACGAATTGGTGAAACACTTTGTCTCTACATGCACAATCTCGTTGTGCACTCATTTATGGACCAGTTGCCAATAAAACTCACATTATACGCCTCAAACCTATCATGAAATAAACACATTAACAACACAAAACAATATGTTTTTGACAATAACGATTCAATCTAGTAGATGTTTGAGTATTGTTTTGGTGATTTATAGATGTTGCTTATTTTGTATGGAGTCTTATTCAAACCTATCTTTAGATTTGTTAGTTATATCGGTTGATGGAATGAAAATATTGGAGTTTGGATGTTGAGCTTGACATCAGAAGACGTTATTTTCTCTATAATTTTGTTAAATTCATACTAAACAAGCTTGTCATGGTCATGCCACCGAATGCATTTTGTCCAGCCACCCAACATTGGAGATCGGGGAAAGTCTCATCTTCAATCTCCAAGACCTAAGTGCAACAAATTTGGATCCGAAATTCACACAATTACTTGATAGACGACATAGAGTATGAAAAGATATTGTTGTGCTTTGGTCCAGCCACCCATCCAATCCTCTTATATTTATTGTGGCTCAAACTCTAGAAATTGGAGATTTCTCCTCTTCAATTTCTAGGACCTCACAATCACATTATTCCAAACTCAAGGATCATGCATCCTAATATCATAGTTAGAAAGTTGAAAAGGAATTAAAATCCTCCAATCCTTACAACATAATCCCTAGCAAACATCTACTCAACCTCTATATCTAGCCAACACAAGGATTTAGTTGAAAGAGACATAACAATAATTCCCAAATTTGAATTCATCTTCCTCCATGATTTGCCCACTCCTTGTTCTTGGATGGTTTTGAGGTTAGGATGATGAAGATTTGGCTCCAAAAACCCTTCAATTTTGTGCCCCTTTGTCTACATCTCACCCGTGCATAGTAAAAAGTTCACGATCAATATATCACAACCATGATCTTTCATGTTTTGGTCGTGATTTCAGGAAAAGAGAAGTTCATGGCTAGGGGAGCCAAGTTGACAGTCGTAATTTCCTCCCTCTCAACGCGATCTCATGTTTCACACCCAAAACTCCCTCATATGCTACGATCGTGAAGTACCCCCTTTTGGTTGTGGAACAAGTTGATTTTTTCCACCTCGTCATGCTTCAAACGATCTTCGAATGACTCAGAACTTGCTCCAAATCTTTCTTGACATGTTAGGACATTTACTAACCTTACAAACGTTAAGTACGTTACCCATCTCAACATAACCAAATGTCAACCACGGTTTAGACGACAAAATTGCCAAACAAATTAATTTGTTCAAATGTTCCCGTGGTATTTACCAAATTAATTAAGTCTAAATTATATTAATCGTGAAATATAATACCCTAACAAAACTGTTCACATTAATATAACAATAAAATTAACCAAACTATAGTTTGGTTAATTGATTAATCGTGTTAACAAAAATAATATAACACTATCATTAAGTGAGAAAAATCTATTATCAATGCATCAATTCATATTACACATAAGAAGTAAAACATAATAATCAATCTTTAAGATAATTATATGCAACTAATATAATTATTATAAAATAAGTAAATGTAGCCACCTAATAAAAACATATACCAATCGTGTGGGGCAACGAATTGGGGGCTTGTCTTTGTTAATTATCTTAGTCTCCTAGTAGTTATCGAATGCTAAACTCCCTTCATTTAAGGTTTTCATTCAACATGACATATGATCTTTATCTAAATTAGGAGCTCATATATTGTTGTCCACACCAAATTAAATATAGTATAGGAACAATAATTAACTTTATTTTTTTATGAATTCGAAAATGGACGAATGTTTGACTCTTGAGTGGTTATGCAAAGTATTGAGTATGTATTGTATAATATATTATATATATGTGTCTTATTTCCTAATTGGTTAATTGATTTGATTGGTTAGCAATGTCTGAAACCAAACCACCTAAATCAAATAAGCTAAAAAGTTTAACAAAACAAAACAAAACCGAATACTGATGTTAAAATGATTACCACGATAACCAATCAGTTTGAATACCCCTACGAACTACGGTTGCCAATGTGATGATGGCCATGCTAGAGAAGTTCTCCCCGGAGCCTCCATCTCTTGGAAGTTGGAATTCAACTCATCGAACCCTCCCTCTTATTGCTGCATGCTACATGCATCCACATTTTCCTTTGCTTTCTTTGCCTGCAAATTTTTTTTCATTCAAACACATTCATCAGCTGGTTACAGAACCATTCACTTCACACTGCTCAGGAAGTGAAAAGCAATGAATTTACTTCGTCTTCCCAATCGATGCTGACAGTGACGATGAGGAGCAAGATGACCTTGACACTACTCCCAGCTATAATTCCAAGCAAAAAACCCTGCCAAGTTTTCATGCAATCAAAATTTAGTACATGCTCCAAAAAATTGTTAGTAAGTGGTATATATTTGATAATTTTACATCTCTCAACAATTCAAGTTATTGATATCAACGAAATTCTTAACATGGTATCAGAGCCTTCTGTTACCGAGAGGTTTTCTGTTCGAATCCTGATCACCCCATCCATTCTGATAAGCACATGATATTCTGACTCGTACAAACTTCCAGCCCATATAAGATGACTTTCGTTTGAGAGGGGATTGTTAGTAACTGGTATATGATCAAGAACCAGTTGATTCCAATAACTCGATTTGTTGGGAGATGTTCAATAATGAATCTTATATCACACTCACTAATACACCATCTCAAACAAAAGCCAATCAACTCATAAGAGTTTTTGTTTGCACATGTTATGAATATGAGAATACCATGTGCTTTCCAAACGAGGTCATCGAGATTCAAACAAAAGACCTGTCTGTCACAAAAGGCTCTAATACCATGACAAAAATAACTTATATCCTAATAACTCAAATTGATGGGGTAGATTATTATGGATCTTATACCACTCTCTTAGAGCTAGCTCCTTTGCTTGTTGGTTTTGAAAATGAGGGTTTTGAATTTTGATAACCTTTGGACTTATGATGAATTTATTGCATTATGGATTTGGAAGAGCACATTTTTCGTTTAGTTGATTTTTTTATTATGAATTTGTCTCACATTTTTGCTTTCCATTATCAAATCCCAAATGAAATGTGAGATTTACAAATCCATGAAGTCCACGTAATTATAAGCTTACCTCTCCACCGTAACGCCAAACGAATGCAAAGAGCAGAGCCACCGGGATGCCGACGAAATAGTACGCCCCAAGGCTTATATACGCGCCGCAGTTCTGCCACCCGCACCCTCTGACGCAGCCCGACAGGACGCCGTGGATCCCGTCGATGAAGTTGCACAGCGCGATCTTCGGGGCGACGACGGATAGGTAGGTGATCAGGATCTTGTCGTCGGTGTAGATGCAACCCCACACGTGCCGAGTCGCCGTGGCGATGGAGCTCGCCAGCAGGCCCTGCGAAACCGCCAGCAGCAGCACCACCCGCACCGCCATTCGGGCTGCGCCCGGGTTCCCCGCTCCCAACTCGTTGGAGATTCTCGTACTGCGTTTAAATTAGTTAAATTAGTTAGCCGTCCAAATTCGGCAGTTAATTCTGTTGGGGCAACCAATATTAATCTTTTGGGTTATAGGTATAATATGCCTCTATACTATAACGTTTTATCAAACATGCCCATGTACTTTATAAAAATGATCAAATATGCCCTTTTGTTAAAATTTTCATCCAAAAACCGTTAACCAAGACCGAACATTAGTTTGGGAGACACAAATGACTAAAATATCTCTAATAAGTCCACTTTAGAATTTTTTTGGTTCTTTTGTATAATCAAATCATTCAAATAATTTCACTTTGAAAAGACCCAGGGAAATAAAACAGGGGACAAAACAGTCATTTTTCCTCCCATTTGTTGATGTCGGGTCGTCTAAATCTCGGCTCAACCATGATTGACGATTTTTTCAATGGAAATTTTAACAGAAGGGCATGTTTGATAAGTTTTTCAAAGTTCAGTGGCATATGTGATGCATAAAATAGTAGAGGGTCATGTTTGATAAAACGTCATAGTAAAGAGGCATATTATACCTATAACCCTAATCTTTTTTATTATTACCTTACAGCGCTGCCAAGGCTATTTGGGATCCGGAAAACCACGGCGGCAGTGTTGAGGCTGCGAGGGGCAGAAAACAAGTCCAATTGTAAATTGTTAATGTCTTAATGAGTTTTGTCTAGCAAGGAAAGATTGATGATTAAAATACTACGACTGTCATGTATCAGGAAAAAATACAAAAACAAATTAATCAACCTACACGTCTATGGTTTTAACACAAAACTAATATACTCTGTTTTGTAGTTTTGGTTAATTAAAAAAATGATACTTTTGGGAATACGTCTCTGTCGAAAGTCATGACACAGAAACTATTGATCACAACGATGCAATGGAGTTACGTGTTGTTTAGCATGGGCTGTTTAGTCGTGAAAACCTGTTGTGACGTGTTATTTTCGACTCCTCCGCTCCGAAATTTAGATCGTTTCGAAATTCAGAATATGTCAGCGAAAAATGTAACCCGTTTATAGAAATTACGAACCTGATCAGCATCATGGACGTCTCCAGCTCTGCATCAGGAAGAAGGCCAGCCAGCACTATGAAAACCTGAAAAGACCAGAACTCCAAGCTATCCCCCAGCATCCAAATCAAAAAAAAAAAAAAAAACAACGACACAGGGGAAAAACATAATCAAACGACCCTGTAAACGGCAGGATCAAATCAAATCAAACCAAAGCAATGAAACTCTACTCACCACATCATGAAAGCTGAAGGAACACCCAACTTGAGGAACGAAAGAACCCCTTTGGCTCCCTCCAGGCTGAAGCTCTTCCATGTCTCCCTACACGAGCTCGAAACCTTGATGTAACCCGCCAGAACGATCACGATGACCCAGTAGGTCACCCCGTTCGCCAGGCACGCCCCGCTGTTCCCCATCCCGAGCTTGTCCACCAGCACCCAGCAGACCACGCCGTGGACCAGGCAGCCCACAGCGGTGGTCGCCATCTGTGGGACCGTGATCCCCTGAGTCTGCAGAAACCGCGTCTGCGACTGCAGGATCCCGAACGGCAGAATGCTGGGGATCAGCCACGGGGCCGATTCCCCCGCCATGGCCGAGATCTCGGGGTCCTGCTTCAGGACCCCGAGAATCGGGCCCGTGAACACCCACAACACGGAAATCGGGATGCTGAGGATCCCGAACACGAGCATCGCTCTCTGCGCGTGGACCCCCAGCATCGCGTACTGCTTGGCCCCGTAGGCCTGCCCGCACAGCGTCTCCAGCGCGCTCCCCATCCCAATCTATAGAGATTAACCAAAATTCTAATCAAACAGTTGTTCATCAATTGATTATTAGTGAAAACTGTTTGTGCGTGTTGTTGGTAAATCAGAAATATGGTGGAAACTGTTGTGTATTATTATTAACACCATATGGGGTTTATATATAGAGTACAATACGTGTGTGTGACGAATTAATTTTCGACGAATCATCAATTACCATGACGGTGTATCCGGTGACACCTGCGATCGAAGTTGTGAGGGAAGAAGAGGCGAGGTGGAGCTCTCCCAACCGTCCGACGAACATGACGGACAGCATTTGGATGCCAAATTGCAGCAGGCTGACGAAGAGCATCGGGCCGGCTAGTTTGAGGAGCTTGTCTAGCTCGACCAACATTTGGGGGCTGTCGCGGCATTTGTCTTTCGTCGAATTGGGGCGAATTGCTGGGTGAGCTGCAGGATTGGGGATGGCTTCAGGGTCGTTCATTTTTTTAGATTGGATTTTGGGAGGAACAGGTATGCTGTGTCACAGTTATTATACAATAATAATGGGAGGAAACGAGTTCAGCAGTTCATGGAAAGTGGCAGAGCAAGGAGATGGGTGGAGGCGTACGCATCTTGAAAAGAGACAGAACATGTCGCTAGCCGTTAGGGGGTTAATTGTTTATGTTTGGGGATATTAAGTTTTCACATGTAGCTCGATTTTGGTTAAGGAGGTATCGCCTAATTCTATTAGTCCTAACTCCTAACTAGTAGTTTGGAAATAATAATATGCTTGGATTTAAATTTTAGGGTAAACAATTATTTAATAAAAAAGGTAATATGTTTAAATGATCCTAGTATACAACAACTATAAAGTAAGGCTTGAATATGTATGGAATCAATCGGCTGGTACATTCCAAATGTTGCTTATACAACTGTTTAGAAGACATACGGATACGGTAGTTCATCGGAAAAAAGGATGGAACTTCAAAGCTTGATCCGAGAGCTGGAGGTAGCGATGTCTAGGAAATAGTGGTGGATTCAAGTTACAACAAAAGCCCATGAAAAATGGTTTCATATTTTGAGAAAACTGTAAAATACTGCGTATAGTGTTCAACAGATCTCTCTATACTATTAGATGATCATTTATTTAATTTCGAAACTTATTTGTGATGTAACTTAAAGCTGAACAGACTCTTTCAATATTTTTTCTGTTGTAACTGGTAAAATCAATACAATTTTGAGAAACTAGTAAACTCATGTATAGGGTTAATTGCAAGGATGGTCACTGGGTTTACTAAAATCGTTCATGTTTGGTCACTGCAAATATTTAAGGCCAAATACACTTGCATAGCCAAAACTTTGACGGTTTTGCCAAATATAGCCACTTTTGGCGAAATACCAAAAATAGCCAATTCCGTCCAATTGTTTAACGGTGTTAATTAACGTGCTGACTGGACTAACAGCAGTGGTTGACGTGGCATATTTTATTAAAAAATAATGTTAGATGGAAAATAATTAAAATTTTATACTTATATTTTTAATCAAATTAAATTAAAAAAAAATAAAATAAATCTCTTTCTCCCCACCACCACCTGTTCACCTTCATCAATACTTCCTACCAGAAGCTTCCTCTTCTCCAATCTCCACCATGCGAGCTCTCAATCCATCTGCCCCATTCACCACCTTCCTCCCGTCAAGCCTTAGCAGAGGTTCCAAGACCCAATCCCTGCTCTGCCTCTCCAAATCCAAATCCACCGTCCACTTCGATTTCCTCGCCAGTTCCTCCGCCGCCCCATTCAAATCCCTAGCTCCACTTAGATACTCAGTTGCTCCGCCGCCCCATTCAAGACCCAATCCCTGCTTCTCCCCTACCCTCGCTGAAATCGCCGGCCTCGTAGGCGACGATTTCGTGCCAACAAATCCCCAATCCCCGCCGCCACCAAACTTCCACAAATCCACGCCGTCGTCACCTCTCCGCACATCACATCCTCATCTCTTCTCCCAGGCAGCAGCCATGGCCGTGAAATCCAATGATGGCGGCGGGCCAGCAGCTCCGTCGCCCGCCTTTCGTGGATACCGTCGCCGAAATCATGAGGCGACGGAGCTTCTTGCAGTACTCGCACCGCAGCCTACTCCTCGACGGCGGCGGCGGCGTTCTGTTCGCGATCTGTGCGGTGCTGGAGGAGGAGTTCACGCTCTCGTCAGCGGCCGCCGGAGGATGGGTTTGGCCGTGGGTGGGTGGGTTGGGGTCGAACTCGAACTCGAACCCAAAGAGCTTGAGCTTGTTGGTGTCGCCGCCGGAGGAGGAAGATTCGGCGGAGGTGTTACTCGACGAGATGTTCGAGATGCTCGGTGGGTTGATCCAGCGAGCTTCTTTGCTTGTCTCTAGCGATTCCCAGGTGGAGAAATCGGCCGGATTCGACGACCCAGGTGCCAAAATTGCCAAGGAAACTGGGTTTCAGATTTCTCGTCTTGTGGGAAGCTTGGGTTTCAGATTTCATTTTTTATGGGGGTCGAAAATTTCGTGTAGAGTTTGATGCATGCCAACTGTTTGTGTTTTTGCCTCACTGATTTGCAGGTGAAGTGAATTCCAACGAGAAACTAAGCCTGCTGAAGGTGGTAGCAATGATAGAGAACTCTGCAAAATCAGGAGCTGAAACAAGGCAGCGGTGGCGAGGACTGACCGGCGGCAGCTGTTGGTTTTGATGGAGAAGAAGAGGGGTTGCTGGAGGAGAAAAAAGAGGGTTCGAAGAGATTAGGTCAATAGGGATAGGGCGATTTTTTTATTTTTATTTTTGTAAATGACGTGTCGTGTGAGTGCTGAGTTGGAAATGAAATAGAGGGTGAGTTGGCAGCCAAGTCAGCGTTCCGTTAATTTAACTAACGGTGTCACTAACGCCGTTAAATTATGTAACGGAAATGGCTATTATTGTCATCAAACTTTCAAAAATCTGGCTATTATTGGTATTTCTCCAAAAGTGGCTATATTTGGCAAAACCATCAAAGTTTTGGCTATACAAGTGTATTTGGCCAATATTTAATTCCATTCATGGTCACTAAGATTAGTTCAATAGTTCAAGTTTGGTCACTCTCCGTTAGTCTCCGTTAGTTTTTGCTGATGTGGCAGTCAACTATTATAGTTGACCGTTAAATGAGTGACGTGGCCAATAAAAAAATAATAAAATTTAAATATTTACAATTTCCACCTCGTTTTACAACTATGAAAAAATAAAACTTAGACTCCTATTCCATCAGCCGCAACAGCAAGACGGCACGATTCGCCGAGATCCACCGCATTTCCATCTATCAATGTCGACAGCACGAAGTGAGATTTCCTCTTCGAGCAGTCCGTCGCTTCCAGCCTGATCCTCTGTTTCTTAGGAGGCGGCGGAGGACTCTACTTCCTCTGTTTCTTCTGCGGCGGCGATTCACCCTCACAGCTACTATCAACAATCAGCTTCCTCTTCGCCTTCGATTTCGTCGAAGCCGAAATTCCTGCTACGATCTTCCTCCGTTTGCTCGTCTCGACCGGCTTCAGGACCGTATCTGGAGACGAAGCCCATCGCATTTCACACGATTCATCGCCGTCGGAGGATGATGAAACTCCGATTACTTCGAGTTCAGGACACCGACTCCGCAAATTCCGTTTCTGAGAAACCGAAACGGCCTCAGGTGTTCTCGGCGTTTCGCGTTTCTTCTTGGGAGTTTCGACCACCGGCTGCCTCAAATCCTGACAGAGAACTCGGAGAGAAAGGTAATTGAGGGTTTGGTCCGGAGAGATGTACCGGAATCTGAAGCTATTCCCGTTGCTCTGGTACTCAATGCTCCATCCCAATGCCAACAGATGCTTCCGGATCCCGATCACGAAAGACTCCGGCGGCCGTTTCGAGCCCAGAGAAGCGTACTCTGTCACGAATTGGGGGCAGAATTCGGGCCTCGATAACAAGTCCGAACCCACCGGCTGCCAACTCTGCTTTCCCTTCGGCGGCAGCGGCAGCGTCGTCGTCGTCGTCTTCCCCATCTCCTCGTCTGCGTTCTCCGATTCTTCGACCAGGCAGCCCGTCGGACGAGAATCCGCGACTGCATTGTCGATCCCGAGCTCGGATTCTTGATTGGTAGCTGAACCTCTTCTTCAGCGCCACGATTCGCGTCTTGCTGTTGCGGCTGATGGAATAGAAGTCTAAGTTTTATTTTTATTTTTTAATAGTTGTAAAATGAGGTGGAAATTGTAAATATTTAAATTTTTTTATTTTTTTTATTGGCCACGTCATTAATTTAACGGTCAACTATAATAGTTGACTGCCACATCAGCAAAAACTAACAGAGACTAACGGAGAGTGACCAAACTTGAACTATTGAACTAATCTTAGTGACCATGAATGGAATTAAATATTTGCAGTGACCAAACATGAACGGTTTTAGTAAACCCAGTGACCATCCTTGCAATTAACCCCTCATGTATATGATAGAATGGCGGGGGATAAGGGTAGCCTGTAATTGCGTTTAATCGGTTAGTGATAGACCATTGATTGCACATGTCCAAGCTCAAGCCGGGCTCCAATGGTGATGGAGATCGATCAAGGACACTTGCAGAATCAGGTTCGTCACTTTCTCTCTCTAGGTATCGCTTTTTCTCTCTAAAACTCGGAGCCCTTCACTTTTGCCCTTCTTTTTCCTTAAGAAGCTGTCTGCCGCGATCCCCGGTCTGAATACCCGGTCGGGTATTTTGGGTGGAGACCGGGTATCTTCAAAACGCACCTTCAGGGAACAGGGGTTAATCCCCGACCTGGGCCAAGAATACCCGACCGGGGATTTACGATTACTGCCTGAGCCCCCTTCTGCTTCTCAAATGGCCGAAACACGAATTTCTCGGTCTGCTCCAAATAATACCCGGCCGGGTATTTCTGCTCATGGCCGGGTATTTTGCTCCTCCAGCACACTTCAACCCAAACGTACTCCTTTCGACCCGAAACTCATTTCTTTGCCTCGATGCCAACGCTAAGTCCTGAAATATGACATAAACGCACAACCTGGCGTGAAATTGGCTTAAAACACGAGGATCAACATCTCAAACGACTCAAGAATAGGGGTAACAAGGTATTTTTGGGTCAAGGTCGGGGATTTCCCAGCCTTCGAACGCGGCGTTTTCGAAACTCCCGACCTTGACCCAAAAATACCCGACCGGGTATTTTTGGCTCAAGGTCGGGGATTTCCATGCAATTGAAACGCGCCGTTTTCAAAACCCCCGGCCGTGGCCTCAAAATACCCGACCGGGGATTTTTGCTATTTAAGCAAACCCCCGGTCGTTTTTCTCTCTCCTCTCATTTTTTTTTCAAATTTCCCCTCTCTTCCTCTCAAAATACTCTGCCTTCTCTCCTCTTTGGAGACCGTCGGCCACCACACTCCGCCACCGGCCGCCGGTCGCTTTTCCAGCGGTTTTTCGGCGACTTTCCGGCGACTTCCGGCGGTTTTCCGGTCGATTTTCCAGCGAGCTTCCCGGGT